AGAGCCGAGATCCTCCGAGACGTATATCTTCTTCAGCGGAGAATTGAGCTTTAGGCGGTCCTTGACGAAGTGGATCAGCACCGCCGTGTCGATGGATTGGCAGTCCAGTGTGACTAGGTTGGGTGCGACAACTTGGTACTTGTCGGTGTAGGACTGGAAGAAGAGACCGAAGAACTGGTTCGCGACGTTCGCGACACGCAGATAGGCGAGCAAAGGCATCGAGTCGAGCCAGCGCATCATGTCGAATCCGCCAGTCGGGTCGAACTGGATGGAATACGTGGTCAGGACCCGGACTTTGGGGAAGGCCGATGTGATCTGCATGAAGAACGGCAGGTAGTCATCCCCGCACAGGTTCATCAGCGTCAGATCGTTGACGTTGGGGGCGCTGATTTGGGCAACAAGGAACTGCACGTAGGCCCGAGTGAAGTCGGCGATCACAAGGGTTCGGAGATGGGGCAGGTGGACTGGAACGATGAAACCCGTTTCCTCATACTGAGGGCCAGCCCCGTCCAACGAGAGCTTCTGGAGCAGCGGGCAGCTCTGGAGGATCCCGCGAAATTTTGCAAGGGTGGGTGAGAACGTGACTGGAAGCCGGCGAATGTCCAGAGTGGTCAAGTTTTTGAAGACGGATTGTTCCCAGACGACAGGCATCCCATTCAAGGACACATAGGTGAGGGAAGGGGGTTGGATGCCACCGAGGAAAGGAAGAGCGGCGACATTGGGCCAGACGAGAGACAGCCGGTTCTCGTTCTGGTGACCGCTGCGGTGGAGTTCGAACCGTTGCAACAGGGGAACACCACTGGGACCCTGGGCGTGCAACAGCTCGAGAACCACCAAAGCACTCCGCCAGTCGTTAACAACGACAATCAACATCCGAATCTGGGATAGTTTGGTGAACAGCCTTGTGAGGACGACACGCATCTGGTCTGCAGTCTCCGTCGGCACCTCGTCGAGAGTGAGAGGCTCATCGTCTGGAAGCCCCGGGTCCTTGGGCGAGCTGCAGTCGATGCGGATGTCGAGGGAAGCCTGGCGGGAGCGCTCGAACCATTCGAACGGACGTTCGGTGTCCGTGATCCCGCGGAACCAAATGGCGTTCCAGAGCGTCGAGTCGTGGAGTGCGATGTCGCGCCACCGGCGGCAGGTCGAGGTAATCCAGAGACGCGCGTTGACAGGACGTTTCATCGAGTCCCAGATGACGAAACGGATGATGTTGGACATGATCTCGGTGGGGAGGTCGTTGACGCGAAACGTACGGAAATATCGAAGCCAGTAGTTCTGGCGCGCGAAAAGCATCTGCGCTCGGGTCTCGATCTTTAAATGTTTGCCCTCCTCCAAGCTCCTCTGATGCTGCTCGATCTGACGCACAATGTCCAAGTATCGCACTCCCTCCCTGTTCATCACAACCCTCTCCTCCTCGCTCAGCACACGGGGTTCCCAATCTGCAAGGATGCGTTCCAAGTGGTCGGCGAGGCCCTTCGGGTTCGGGATGGATGGGTTCGGGTTTTGCGCGTTGGGGACGGGTCGACAGGTGGAGAGATAGGCGAGAAAGGCTTGATCTGCCCGGGGGAGGAAAGCTAGAAGCATATCCATAGGCATCTAGTTGCATACGAATCAGCACTGGAAGTATAAAAGTCAGTGGCAGAACGCGCACTTATGCGTATTGGTAGCGTGGGTCTGTATGGATAGCGAAAATAGAGTAGATGAGGAATCGTGGCGGCGTGCGCGCGACTATATAGTCTCCAATATGTAGTCCAAAGCGCGGACCCAGCCGAGGTCCAAATTAAAACAATGCCAGGCGCGAGGCCTTGATCCAAATCGACAATGTGCAAGGCTTGCGCTTTCCCCGTCGACAAATTCCCAGGGTCCACGTGCACCCACAGTCACCCACAAATAGAATTTCGACCCTGCAACGCCCTTCTCCACCCCAAAGCGTGGTCTCCACAGTGGAGGACGACGAGTCCGGACGGCCCTCGGGGCAAAGGGAGCGGGTGTAAAGCGAACGACAGGTGCAACACACACAAAGACACGTAAATCCCCCACGGATGAAGGGCTTCTGCTGATTGTCCTGACGTCTCCTTTGATGGCGCAGAAGCAGTCAGAGAGGGAATGAACGCGCTCAAGAGGACGATGAAGGAGGTATCGCGGGCGGGCAGTCCTCAAGCCAGCGAGCACCCGAGAACAAGCGGGGGAGGGGACAAAGGGAAGGGCGATAGATCCGCGACTGTCATCCTTTTCAGGCGTAGCGTTTGCCTTTGAGTCGAGCAGATGGCTTGCCTAGCCAAGGATCTTTCCGAGAGACAAAGCAAGCTCTTGACGGGCGTTTCTGCCGCATTTGGAAATGGCCGACGTCTTTGAACAGCGCCTCGAGCCACCCGCCGACGATCGATCATTTGCCACTCATGCACTCAAGACGCGTTTGCCCTCTCTGATTGCTCTCCATCGCGTCGAATGGGACCGATCTGTCGCGTCTCTTCTAGATTGCAATGTTGCGGCTATGCACGCGTTGCATGATCGAATGACACCGACCATCCCCAGAATTCACGTTTGCTTTGTGTCCAGCAGCCGTGGTAAAGTGCACTTCACCCCAGATGTATGAAATGATAGCCACGAGGCTCGCGGCCGCTGATTTAGGAAGCTGCCCCCTTCGATCACTCTTTCTTTGTCAATGGGATCGTTGCAGGTGACCTAGTAACTTGACCTACTCCGCCCTTCCGAAGATCGTTGCACGAGCCAATCAACAAAGATATACAACTTCAGATTCCACGACTTACATACTACATACACATGATCATGAAGCAAAGTACAATACGGAATGCACTCAGGGATCGTTGTTCACACCGGAGCCCGACGGAACAGGCTTGGGGGTGATATACAAAAGCTCCTCGACGAGAGTAGAGACGATATTATTCTCCTCATCCTCAGAAAGTTTGTGCGGAGGAATCAGATCCTTGATCTTCGTCTGAAGGGTCGGATGAGCCTTCATAGTGATGCCCATCTGGACCAAGAATGAGTGGCATATTTTCGAATCGGACGTGAACGTACAGCAGCGAGACGTTTAGTGATCTTGCCTGCGACCACCTCCTTCGAGTCTTCTGCCGAAACGTGGCGGCGAGAAGGGTGGCCGTGGTATGTGTTGTGACGCACAGGAACACTATACATCTCCAGCGGAGGATATCCAATCTTCCGGTTTCCGGTGCTCACAAGCACCGGCTCCGGGGCCGGAGCTTCCGGAGCCGGCGGAACTTCCGCATCTGCAGTCGCACTGGAAGTCCGATAAGAACATAAGAAAGACAAAGCAGGCGATGGTCAACTTACCCTTGAGCAGACAGTCTGGCTTCCCTCATACCACGAAGCTTAGTGCGCTCAGCTTTATAGCGTTCCTTCTCTTGTTCATAGAGCTCTTTAGCTGCGATGACCTGAGCTTTGATGTCCTGCGGTCGGGTTGAGGTATTGGGTTGAGGGGGAGGCCCAGCAGGCGGTGGGAACGGGATGAATGGCGGTCCAGGCGGTGGCGGTGGCGGCGCGGGATGATGCCATGGAGCGGAGTGGTGCATGGGGTCCAGAGGCCCTCCGAACGGTGGGTGAGGCGGAAGCGGAGGGGGTTGATTGCCACGGTCTCCATGTCCACCACGATGTCCATGATGTCCGTGATGTCCATGATGACCGAAACCACCACCACGACCTCGACCCCGCCCCCATCCACCATGGGGCGGCCCGTGATACCAGTACGAGGTTGAGTCCCGTTGTCCAGTCGCATCGGAAGTGCTCGTGCGCCAGTCTTCGCTAGACGCAGTACCGCTACCTAGCTGTGACAGCGTGCGCAGCATCCCACCGACAGCCTCAGCAACACGACGTCCAGCCTCTTCCTCAGCTCGACGACGCATCTGTTCGGCAGCCTCGCCCGTCGCAGACATGAATTCGCCCGCAGCCTGCGAGACTGCAGTTCGATGGGTGTGCCAGTACACGCCGTTCGTCGCATTCTGCATGATGTTGCGCAGCCCTTCAGAGAGTTCCGGGTGGGTCGAAAAGATGGTGCTGAATGTGTTGATCAGCGCGGCGACGTCGTTGGTGAGGGACGCAGCCGGGATTTCGGGCAGAGGAGGGTCGCTGGGGTCCTCAATCGCAGTCATTGTAGGAGGCGCTGGCGGGGCCACTGATTCGGGTGCTTCAGGTGCTTCAACGGGACTGGTATGGATTCTGCAACTGCTGCAGTCGAGGCTGGACGAGATGACGTAGTAGGTGGCAGGGAAACAGTAGACGGGTTACGGAACAGCGACGGCTGGAAGGGCTGAATCGGAGTAGCGAGCAGGTCTTCTCCAGACAGAGTAATATCATCCGACACCTTGCCCTTGCCCTTGAGTTCCGCAGACAGCAGGTTTCCATAATCCGTAGTGGAGCCACTGACGCTCCCTGCATCGCTCTGCCGCGCCGAGGGTGCTGTTTCAGAGCCAATGCTCTGGATGAACGCATGGGGACCAGGAGACTCGTCCGGAACGTAAATCCCACCGAGCGACGGGAGCCGCTGCCAATCATCGTCGACCTCGAACGGGTTCAGGCTTTCGACCCCAAAAGTGTTGCGTAAATTTGTCCGGGGTGTATCCGGTAGCGACTTCTCACTGCTCGTAGCAGATAGATCGTGGACGGCGAACTTGATGACGGGAGGGCTCGGGTTGGAGTGGTAATAGTCGCGCAGCTCCTCCTCGGAACTGAGCGTCACTTCATCCGAGTCCGCATCAACATAGGACACCCCAATGTAGGCAATGGGAATATCGAAAAGGACGTGAATTCGGGCTGCAAGCTCGGCCCATAGGGGAGGGGAGGGGAAAGAGACACGACGGATGAGACCGTTTCTCGTCAACTTGAATTGGGAGTTCATGGTTGGAGCTGTGCAAATGCTTGATCACTACTTATCTTATATAGTAGTATGCTGCGCATGTGCACGGACCATCTACACTGCTGCGGCTTCGAAGTGCTGTGCCTCTCACCATCGCCGAGCAAGCTGTAACTGCGGGACGTGCTTCATTTCAAATCAAACATACAAGTTTCTTCCATTTATTTATCCTAATACATCTGCTTTTCTCAAGCAAAAATAGCCATTCTGCGCGATTGCCTTAGCACAAGTATAATATTCCTAGAGAGTGCTGAATGACTCACCTGGGGTCGATGTCGCGTGGATCGTTCATCTTCATAGCAGTTGAGACTACGCAGCGCAGTAAGATCAGATCAAAACATACCCGGCAGTTGAAATTGAGGCCGGAAATGGAGGCGATTTCTTCTTCCGTAAGATTGAAGGATTCGCTAGCCAAGTTCTGGACCAATCGTTCACTGCTGTTAGACTTGGGAATCACTGCGGTTTTGGTCAGCCATGATCTGGCACACAGTAGAGATCACAAAGACGCACCTGCGATGCCACGCTGAGTCGCCCAACGCAGCAGAACCTGCGCAGTAGCTGGTGCCTGTTTCAGAGATGATTCCAAAAAATGATTGCGAGCGCGTACTTTGCTGGTACTTCTTGGCGATCGCGCTGACTATGTCGTGGGACAACAAGCTTGGGGCGGCGCGATCCATCGACAACTCAACGTAGCTCTGGGGACCAAAGGACGAGTAGCCAGTCATGGCGATTCCGAGGGTCTTGCACAAAGCGACGAGGTGATCCTGGGTGAGATAAGGGTGGAGTTCGACCTGCAGCACCTGGGGTTTGATACGGGCGTAGCGCATCATGTCGATGATCAGAGAGCCTTGGAAGTTGCTGGATCATCTACATGAGTACAAGGGTGAGCAGATGTGGGCGCATATATCCCACCTGATACCAATGTTCTTGGCGATTCCATCGTCAACGAGCTGCTCCATGACGGTCCAGGTCTCCTGGATGGGCGTGTCCTGCAAATTCACCGTCTTACCGTCCCCTCCAAACCACTCAGGAGGGTATCGTTCAGCGGGATCGACGTATTTCAGAGCAATCGGGAAGTGAACCAGGAAGAGATCGAAGTCTAGGTCGTTGGTGCTCAGCAAACTGATCCCCAATCTCGATATGGGCTTACATTCAATTCCCCACAGACCCAATTGCATCTGGGCAGTCGTCTTGACATGCTCCTTGGCATGGAAGGTGTTCCACAACTGCGAGATATCAACAAGGCTCCATTACGGTCACACTGACGACCACTTGCCTTGGAAGTGATGACTGACACAGAGATAATCAGCTACGGCCACAGCCCAAAAGTTTCGAGTTGGGACTTACAAAGATCCTCTCTCTTGACAAGACCATCGCTTATGGCACGGCGAACGCCTTCACCGGCCTCCTTCTCATTTCCGTAATCACCTACAAGCGTCGAACGAATGGAAGGAACAGAGTTGCAGGGTACTGACCAGCCCCGTCGAACAAGCGATATCCCGCTTTTATACTAGAAATTCTTCTAATGGGCCGCTTAGAGCCTACGAGATACGCTCACGCACGCGTTGTACACCGTCTACAGAGAGATCCCGTCAATCGACGGTCGGAGGATTATGCGAGAACGCTTACATCGGCACAAGAGGACTTGGTAACCTTCCAAAGCCCAAAGCTGTAACGATACCGTTAGTCAAAGGCTCAAAGTTTCGGATGGGAGATTGGGGAATCGGCTGAAGATAGGAGCTCACCCGACGAGCGGCATCTATGGTGGATAGAAATGAGCTATGATCCAATATTTGGAGGAGATCGGATGGAATCTACAGTACCTTTTGGCCAGTGCGAGCAAGTGCGATAGAAGCCATTGTAGATGAGTGTGGGGAAACAGATTCGGGCCAGTCATGTGTGGGTACTAGTACAACATTTCCCAGTGATCATGATCCCATTACGTAACCATCAACGCGTCCATATTTCTGAGTTTCGTTTTCCAGCTCAACGCCAGCCCAACTTTCAAGGGTCCCGCTCTGTCTCTATCGTCGGGCTGGCTCTTTTTCTGGTATCCGGGTGCTTTGGAATCTAGTCAACACGTTCTGTTGGCTCGTCCTGCCGTGATACCTCGATTCTGTCAACAATTTTCGGTTTATGCGCTTCCATGTGCTCGGAGCAGGACCAATTCCCTCGCTCTTTGCGCACCACCTCCGCAGAGCCACGCCTCCCTCCCACAAAATCGTTATTATCCATCGGAAAGCGAGAGATGCACTCAGCGTCAAGGCTTCCGGCATCCAGGTCCAGAACGGCGCCACATTCACAACCTCTACGGACTTCGAGCATGAATCGCAAGATGCCAAAAACGACTCCCCGATTGACTCATTGTTTATCACCAACAAAGGACACTCGGCGCTCTACGCCCTTCGACGCCTCGCTCACCGTATCTTGCCGACGAGTACGGTCGTGCTTGCGAACAACGCGCTCGCCGTTCACCGGCTTTCGCCGTTGTTCAGCGACCCAGAACAACGACCTCACGTTATTCTCGCGACATCCACACACGCGGCTAGGCATACCACCACTGGAGGGGCGCGACGGGTCGTCCACACCTTTCCGGGCAGAATCCATTACGCGCTCGTCGCAAATGGATCCCGTGATGTCGAAGCCGGCCTCAAGAGCTCCTCGTCAGACAGGCGTCTGCGCCTCTCGAATATCGCGTCCACGACGGGCGATACTCTGTACCCGTTCTACCGCACCTTGCGAAATACCGTGGCCGTCCTGCACTTGGCGGAGTCACTCAGCGCGCACTGGTGCAGCTTGCAGGAAATGCAGTCTCGTATGCGTCGGCGGCTCGTCGTCGACTCGATCATCCAGCCTCTCAGCATACTCATGGGATGCCGCGTAGGGGACCTGTTTACCAGAACGGAAGCTGTGATGCTCGCGAGGGATATGTGCAATGAGGCCGCAGCGCTCTTCCGTGCAGAGGCAGAGGCGCAGCTTCGAGCGGAATATCCGGAGCCCGACCTTGAGATGATGGAGCTCTCCGGCGCGGCCAGAGTTCCGCCAGCGCTCCTTGCCGAGAATCTGCTCAGAGATTGTCTAAATTATGCGGCCGAGCGCAAATCTGAAATCTCGCCGATGCTCAATGCCATGCTCTATGCACGTCCGCATGACCTCACCTATCTGACCGGACATTTGCTGGCATCTAACGCCGGCTTGGTTGATATGCCGGTGACCAACAGCGTGTACCGCCTGGCGAGGATGCGAGTTGACGCTCCCATAGACCGATTGTTTTGAAGAGTATCGTATATCTCACGTATAGTAGTAGAACATGTATCAACACATAACTCCTCCCTGCAAAGCATCGCCAACGCGGGCCATCAATCGCCCTTGCTCAATGCCTGCATCAGCACGCACACTTTGCGCTCCGGGAGAGTATCTGGAGGAGCTGCCCTACGACAGATTGCTAGGGACTTGGCATGTGTTCGTGCTTGCTACTGCTCTCTCCTCTTCGTATTATTCAACCCCAAACAGCGTCGCGAGCACACTTCCCCTCTGGAAGAACAAGAAGAACGTCAAGATCACATACTCAACTATCCCAGGAGAACCGGCGACGACGTTCGATGACTTGGTTACATACGAGATGCGGAATGGAAAAGGGACGCAGACGCCGTCTACTGTGCGGGGGATCGACAGGCTGGAGAAGCCCGGAGGATGGAAATGGTGCGCGTCGTGTTGTCCATATTATCCGCGGCGGTGCTGTAGCTTCGACCCAATCTAGGCGCGGGAAGGGTCTCCTCATGATTGCGACAAGCCATTGGCAAGTGCTCGGCTTCGAGAGTGAGCCAGACTACGTCGTGACGTATTTCGAGTCCACACTCTTCACGCCTGCTGGTCTGGACATCTACTCAAGAACGAAGGATGGGCTGAGCGATGAGACAGTGAATACCATAACGCAGGAGATAGGGACGCTCAAAGGTCTGGAACAGTACGCGAAGGATATGTTTAGAGTACCACAAGATTGAAGACGCCAGTCGCAAGTGTTGTTGTTTCAGATGGGTCGGATGTGTGATCCCAAACGGCACCCTGGAGCTCGGACTCGTTACTGCCATTGCTATCAACTCCGGGCCGGGTGCTGCCGGACAGTTCCTTCCTCATGATCTCACCACTCGAATAGCTTGAGAGAACACGGGCATGATACCACTGGTCTGAGCCCATGTCGCTCGACCCTTGTGCAGGCTTTGCGGCAACCAACCCTGATAACGCTGGAATCGGTGTACGGTCCGTAGAGTGTGCCTCCTAGAGGGCGGGAAGGTCGACTTGACTTGTTGTTGCAGAATTAGCTTCTATCTGCAGACATTCTTGCTGGGTCGGTGCTTCCACGCGAGAATCCAAGTTCTTACGCTCCGCTCTCTGTAGTCTTCCTCGTCGATCGGTCATGGGTGGAGTGAGTTCACCCTCCTACCGTACCCCGGTACAGTGGATTGAACGGCTGATGCAGCGCGCCTATTGCGCTGTGGACATTCCTCGCCACCAGCTTTGGCCTCACTGTGGCAGCAATCATCCAAGAAGCTCAAGGGCAACTTACCCTGTACCAGGGTTTGCAGGTGTCTAATCTTGTCTGGTGCATATTTGTCGATTCTGGAGTCCTGGACGTTGCCTCAAACTCCCATTCGGTTTTTCAGGCTTGCAAATTTCGGCATGTTTGTGGCGATGGCAAGCTACAGTCGTCAAAAAGCCGCCAGTCACTCGAACACCGTATATGACTACAACGTCAAGTCAGGGATCTTGCTGCAAACATTTCTGTCGATTTGTCTTACGATTTATATGTGGTAATCTGCTGTCTTTGTCTACCTGGATCATATTTGGGTCTGAATCCTGCGCAAGGGCAACCATCGAAACCTTCGGCAGCCTCCCTCAGTGCTCACATCTTGTCACATTTATGGTCTTTGTAATCAAAGTCCCTGCTCTTCAACCAGGCAAGGTAGGCACCGGAGTCTTCGCGCTTGGGCATATTGATGCGGTCTGTACAGATCATCGGGTTGACTGCGTCCTCTGTGCTATTGGTCATGTATACCTCGATATCACTCCATGAGCTGTTTGCTTCCGTGAGGAGACGACGCGTGAAAGCATTGATTCCCCATCACCTTCGGACCTCGACTCCGAGACACTCTACCCTGCCCACCGTTCAAACCCCTACAACACCGGCGGCAGTCCCAAGTGCAAGCCTCCGCCGACCGCCAAGTTTGGCCAACATCAGTGTGGTGCCGAGGACAGCAACGCAGACTTCGATCCTTTCTCCGACGGAGATCGTGTCTCTCTCGTCCGCATCTGGGCCCAGTCAATCGGTTCTCAAGCGTCGGCCTCGCAGGACACAGTGGTCACGTGAGGTCGATCCAATGTTCATCGGTGTCTAGTACAGTCGCATTTGTCGCGGATTCGAAAACTCATCCATTTGCTCTCAGGTGTTGTCATCTGCCAAGTCCTGGTCTTTACATATTTTATAGTCTCCAGCGAGCTTTTGCTCACTAACAATTACGGGGCTCAGGATGCTGCGCAACAGATGGGCTTCGGGCAGGTGCGCAGGGCGTTCCTTATCGGGTATATTATTACAACTCATCGCTCACTGAGCCCGAAGATTTCTGCGCTGATTGTGATTCTTCCTGGCGCGCTTGCTGTTATCGGTGCTGTAAGGGAACATGGCTTCAAGCGGCTTTCCAAACGAAAGCGATCGAACACGAGACTTCGAAGTCGACGGAATACAAATGTATAAATTATCATCGGTTGAATATTGTAGGGCGGTGCGGAATGCAATGTCTAGTGATCGTCAGAAGTGGGTGTGCCCCACTTGACCAGGGCGCTTAGTCCGTTTTGCCAGTCCTCGACGCGTCGCCCTGAGAATGTTGTTTAAAGTGAGAATACTGACACGCCGTGACATACCAGCGAGAACGGACATCGACGATCGATCTGTTCCGACGAACGCAGCACCTTTCGATTGGATCACGGCGTCAATGAGCACCGGATACCTGGAAAAACTCCGCCCCAAGGACTCTCAAATTGACGAAGGACGCACCACTCGCCATAAATGTGTGCTGTGCGTGAATGGTCTATCCTCAGCCATCCGAGTTCAGCAACGTCGTGCCACCAGATCGCATCCTTCTCATCACTCGTCATCACCACGTGGTGAATTCTGACACCGCTGAGCCTGAGCATCTCCGCTCTTATCTGCTGTACTTGTCGGTTGATTGCAGCAAGAGATGCGACTAGGATGAGGGTCAACTTGACCAAATTCGTCGGAGATTCTGGGCCCACGCACAGCACTGCTTGACAGGGATTCCATTGCACCACGACTGGAGGACGATATCGGATCAGGAAGGGACGAGAAGAGAGTGTCCTTACTTACTTCAAAGTCGGCATGTCGAACATGGACTGAGATGAACTGAAGAACACAATTCAATCCTCTCCCGACATATAGCGTAGCTAAAGCGCACCGGGACGAGCGGGGACTCTTCGGGCAATCTCATGGCCGCGCGGAGATAGCTCTCCGCAAGTTCCTCCAAGCTCGGATTCCAGTGCATGTGAGTCCCAACAGATCGCCAAGCAGGGCTTCCGTGCTGGCGGTCAGAACCTGATTGTTCCTCCGTGAGAAATAGCACCTGTAGTCAAATTGCATTTCGAAAGGCTAATCGCCGGTTGTGAGTGAGGACGTCACAGACGGTATGTGATAGAACTTACTTGATGTGCAACCACGTAATACACTGTCGCATCGTCAGAATGTGACACAACTCCGAGTAGAGCCGCCTCACAAAAGTCGTAACACAGTAATTGCTCGTCTGGAGCGAGGAGCGAGTGGTGTTCGGGTGACGGTGACGGCGGCACCATATTGGCTTTCCGACCAGACGGAAAGGCCAGAGTTGCCAGTGCCCAGAATGTGGCATGATACTGGATAATTAGTTGATGCAGATCCAAGATATCCGTGCCCGTCTGGGACTCACATCGTGCTCAGAATCTGGCATCAGCTTGACCCAAGCGGGGACTTTGGTATACGAGATATCTTCGGGTCGTGGATGTTGAATGTGGTTGATAGATGAGGTCAGATTCATCACTCACCAAGCCCAAGGTGGGTAGGATGCCAGCTGTCCCGGGGATGCGCATGGCGGAATTGCACCGCCTCCCATACATTCCAGCAGCCCAAGTCATCAACAAAAGTGCTGTTCACGTCCTACAGGAAATCAAGGCGAAGCCGTGGAGATTGTGCGCAACCACCATGTACCTTGACATCTCTCCATTCGAGGACGGCCGTGCCAAGCTGATTGCGCAGACGAGGAAGATCGAAGACGTCCCCGAAGGGAATGGGGGGCACGTGGACTCCGATGTGCGAGGGAAGAAAATCCGGGACGATAGGAATCCGCTCAGTGATGAGGCCTAGATAGATGAGATTGATCTACCCAGGCATTTTGTTTGCGAAGTCGTGATTGTCTAGGCTCAAGTTACGCACGTAGGTGGCGACATCGTTGGCTGCGCCAAGGAAATTTAGTCGCTGAAATATGCATGAGAATGAATGTGACCCACTCCATCCAGCCGACGTCCACGATGTGATATATTTCCTGTCAACTTTTAGATTGTCTCTGAAGGAGGCTGTCGGTGCTCCGTTCAACGCGCGCGCTGATTCATAAGTTTTATCGACGCATACGAGAGGTGAAGCCGTGAAGATGGTGGGTTCTCCTGCGCGGGCAGAGAATGATGCGTAGGTAAGCGTTCGCGACAGTGAGAGTGCCGCAATTGTAACAAGAACCAAACCCGCGATGAGAGAGCGTCTTCGATGGATCAAGGACACGGGACGGAGGGCCATCCAAGATCAAGAATGGGTCGAACGTTGAAGATACCCGGCCTTTGTTATTTCTTGAAACGTCATTTTTTTCGTGTCCATCATCAGTCCCAGAGGGGTTCGATGGAGGCACAAGATGTGAAAGAAGCGACCACTTTCACAAAGAGAAAATAGCCCTTCTTCTTCAATGAGGACAGACAAAGAAAAAATATTCGGAGGAAAAGGCGCCGTGAGGGGACAATACATTCAATTCATAGGAGAAATGAGCGGAAACGAACTTGAAAGGCCCCCTCAGCGTGCATGTCACAGTTGTCACAGGCTCAACATATGATTGACAGTCACTGACAGCGGAGTCAAAACGCCGGCATGATGCGAGATCTAAGATTGATTGCTCTTGTGAAGACAGCACATTCATGCGAATCTCGCCTGTAGTCATCTATCTTGGGACGTCCAAACGCCGATGAGAAGGAGAGCTCTACTGTCGAGATCCACAATCTCTTTCCGGCCTATCTCCCACTCATTAAGAGACTGTCCAATATGGCGCACTGTGACCGACCGTCGTTTCTCCCCACTCGTCACTTCTAGTCATGTCGTCCAGGCTCCAGGTAGCAGCTGTCGTCACGTTCTACATGTTCTCGGCCCTCACAGTGAGCTGCCCGATTCGTACCGCCGCGTGTTTACTCACAATTCCCGCGTAGATGGTCTTCGTGTGCGTTCTCTCGTTTGGGATCCGAAATCGTCATGAGGCAGCTCAGTAGCCACTCACAGCAATAAGGCCGTCTTGGTCAATGCTCCCGAAACTCCACTGACGTTCTTGCTGCTCCAACTCGCTATCGCTGTCATTCTTCTCCATGCGACCGCAGCTTTCTCCAAGACGATAGAAATCCCTAAATTTGAGATCCCTACCGCCAAGAAACTATTTCCAGTAGTCTTTGTGAACATCGTCGGGTGTGCCACAGAGTTTCTTGATCTTGAAAGAGCAATCGACTCACGATCTTTTGAGGCTTGTCTTCAATACACTCTGTCTACGGGGCGTGGAGGCATCCTTCTTCCAGATCGCCAGGGGCTTGGTTCTTCCTCTTACGATCACTGTGTCTGGCATTCATACCAAGGCTGTCCCAAGCACGAGAGTGATAGTCGCGGCGCTCATTGTCACCTGCGGCTTCCTTTTGGGTGTGTCCCCGTCGTCAAAGATCCCCATCGCCTCGACGCCATCGTTTCTGTCACTCAGCTATGGTGTTCTGTCGTCTTTTTTCATCGCCGTCCACGCGGTTCTGATAAAAAGCTCGCTCCCGCACTGCGGGAACTCTACAATCCAACTTGCCTGGTGGACGAACGTGGGGTCCGCCGTCCTTCTTTTGCCTGTCATACTGCTCGTTGGAGAGCCAGCTGCCCTTCGCTCCATGATCGATAATCCGCAATGGGACGCACGGCTGTTTCTTTGGGGCTCTGCTATCACTGGTATCTTTGGATTCCTGTTATGCATTGGTGATTACGGTCTCGCATAAGTGACCACGATCTTATCGTTTTCCTTTTCCACAGCAGGTCTGCTAAGCATCCGGGTTACGAGTCCTATCACCCATATGTTCAGCAGCGTAAGCAACTCTCCAGAAAAGCCCTTCGAATCTTTATCAGACTTTCCATCCAGGCGGCTCGCTCTGTTATACAGACTCTCATCGGGGTCGTGTACTTTGGAGACTTGCTCACGACGTGAGTTGAAACCAGACTATTCTTCAGATGTTCTCACTCTTTCCACTACTGCAGTAATCGCGGTGCTTCGATCGCTGTCATCCTGGGGGGCACCATGTCGGTATTTTTCGTGCTCTTACTCAGCTACAAATGTTTATCATGAGTTTCACAGATACTTCACGTGGGTCAAAGCGATCGAGACTGCCCACCGTCCCTCTGATATCGAATCAAATTCGGAGGAAGGAGAACTTTTGCCAGAGATAAAAGAGCCCCATGTAGGAAATAAGACCGCACAGAAACAGAACGTCGAATAATTGTGTAGAGCTGTATTTGTAAGCAAGTTGTGATTAGATGGTGGCTGTGCCGTAGTTTCCAGCATCTCAGATCCACTGGTTGGCTCCGCCCTTTGTGACGGGTTTAGGGAGCCAAAATCAGGATACTCCGATGCCAGTCTCTGATAGTGAGCTCTGTTCATTTGCCGAAGCAGGTGGGATTGCTATATAAACAAAGACGGACATGGGCGGTCAATCAGCCCCCTGTTTTCCAGGTCTCCAGCGCCCGAGAGCCCACTATCGACGACATGGAAGCCCCCATTCTCCAGCGCCTTGACTCTACGGCCTCTGATGCGACGTTGGTCTCGTCGCCCATCCGCCACGAGGCTGTCGAACGTCCTCTCGGAGAGACTGAGGTCTCGTACTTCCTCCCCTCGCGGGCATCGGGGGTGAACGACATGTAGGTTCTTGCTCTCCGGAGCTTCGATTCACCCTTTCACATGCTGCGGATAGGTACCTGCACCTCGGTCTGCGCGCAAACCCGGAGATTTTCGACCGCAGCCGCGTGTCTGCTGCGTGGGCCATGCTCAGGCTTAAACACCCCCTTGTCGCCTCCACGGTCAAGATGAATGATTATCATGACATCAAATTCGTGTAGGACGGATTTTACTGTGTGATGCGGGCCGTGAGTGACGATCACCGCGTTCTAGGTACAATCCTCCTGCCAGTGTGACCGACGCAATCGAATCTGCCAACGAATGCCTGGAATACAGGACCCAGGGCAAGGACGGTGGGTACCTGATGGGCCAAACATGTGGCGCCGGCTGATCTGTCTCTCCCAGACCTCATCGACTCGTACCTGAATGGGCCGCGAACTCTGTCGAGCGAAAGATTATCTTATCTGATTATATCTGAGCCGGAGCAGGACGAGTCAGAGGATGGCACCCGCAACTTCGACCTGCTCGTCTGCGCGGCGCACTACATCGGGGACGGGATGGCTCTTCACCAGTTCTCGAACGAGCTCTTCACTCTCCTCGGCGAAGGGCGCAGCGCAGAGGATCTCCAGTTCCTGCTCACAGAGGAGTGGCACACCAAGTGGGGAGCGAGTGCCAAGGCAGCTGACGTGAGTATGCTCTGATCTCTGATCAGATCCCATACCCATGTGTCTCTAGACATCGTCGACCCTCCCGATTTCTCTGGAGGACAGGCTGCCTCCTCGACCGGAGGGCAAGTTCTTCCGTGCCGCATCACAAGTCGATTTCCAGACCAGCGAGTCCCGGCTGATGGTGAGTCTGAGTCATCGATTGCGAGCGTCAGATACTCAGCCTGTATTCAGGGTGGACATGCCTTCCCTCGGCGCTCTGGTGGCGAGCGGAAGACGGTCGTGCCGACTGTCTCCTTCGACGCTGACAAGACCAAGGCCATGTTGAAAAAGTGCAAGGCACAGGGTGTCTCGATCAGCGCAGCACTCTTTAGTCTCATGAACGTCGCCTGGGCCAAGACCCGCGGAGACAAATGGGAGCTGCCCATGTGAGTTTCTATGCGTGGCTTCAGTCACGTCGGAGGAACTCAAGCGTCGCGCAGGATGATGTACTCGGCTCTCAACTTGCGTCCGGTTCTCACCGCGAGCAAGGTGCAAAACGAGACATACTGGTATCTCGCTATCGGATACTTCAACGTCGTGCTCCCGACATTCATGCCCATTGAGAATGCCGAGGTCACCGAGAAGCTCTTCTGGCACCGAGCCCGTGCGGCCAAGACGCAGAGCACCAAGGCAGCCAAGAACCCGCTGCTTGCGTCGCGGAGCTACGAGATGGCCAACGAGCGCGGGAAACGGGCACGTCGCTTTGCCAAGGAGGACGACGAGAAGGAAGCCGGCACCTGGCAGGCCCCGCCCCCGAAGCCGACATCGGCGGAACCTGCGGCGCCCAAACAGGCGCCGTCGACCGCTCTGATCGGCTTGTCTCTTCTGGGCAACCTGGACGGCGTCTACAAGCATGCTACTTACCCTAGCATCAAGCTGCACACGCTGACCACTGGATCCCGGCAGCGTGCCGGAGGGATGCTCTTGTTTGGATACACGTTTGCTGGCAAGATGTGGATCAGTCTGGGATACGACAAGGCGGGCTTCGATGAGACTGTCGATACATTCTGGGGACACGTTCTGTCCTCTGTAGACACACTGTTTGCTTAAATGGACGCTAGACGCGACAGTGTATTTATGTACTACAAATCTGGCAGTTCTCGCTGTATTAATCGAGCCCATGTAGAATCCTTCCACCAGTCGCGCATGCCATCAAGCCGGTCCCACAACGTCTCCTCGTCAACGCCGTAGATCTCATACTTACCGCCATCTAGTGGACGTCCTTCTCGGCTCGCCACATCCAATGCTGCTTTGTTCTCTCCTCTGAACGAGATGAAGCAGCCAGATCTATGCTTGGGACGACGACTCACCTAAGTAGCTCCAGCAGCTCTTGTCGATCCGGAAAGAACAATCGAGGCTCAAGGACAGCCAAGATTCCCAACGACGCGCGATAGAGAAACGAGTCCCCTTCGAGGAGAATGACATCCCAGAGTCGAGCGCAAGCTTCAAAGGGCAAGTGATCGAGAAAGAGCGGAACGATCCAGCCAGGCAGATAAGCTCCTGGAGAGATCTGATGTTGTTTGAAATTGAAGTAGACTGCATGAACGATGAGATATGACGTGACAGTCGACTAAAAGGACCCACTTTTCGGCATCCCATCCGCGAGCAATGTATCGAAGATCCTGCGAGACGTCAATCATCCACTTACATTCAACATGTTGGTCCACAATCACCGATAATATGCATCGACCTGATACCATTTTGAGCGCAATCAGCAATGGAAACTGAGCACTTACATCCGCTTTGGAGCCTTCTCCGCCGAAGAAGCTCCGCATGCAATGTCTTTCCAGGAGATTGCGCATCACAATAAACGCTTGTGGCACAGGCATATTAAGCAACATCATGGCAGCGATTTTAGCCGCTCCCATGGCGTATCCCAGTCCCTCGTCGCTTCTAGACACAACCCATGCACACAGCATATCTCTCAGATCGCCATATAACGGTCCGGTTTCGCGATGGAAGATGTGTAACGAAGGTAGCGTGGCGGCCATGTCCTCCTCGATCATCGACAGTGTTTGCGACGGAAAGGACCCGGCCGCGAGAGCTCTCTTGGCTCGCGTACTGCATATTCTATAGTTATCTCGAACGTAGAGTCAGGTGTAAGTTCACGCTGAGTTTCATAGCACACACCTTTACTCAATGCCAAAGCATTTCCGACGGCGTTCGTCCACATGGATGCGCGCAGCTTCGTCGGGATGCCCTTCCACCAGAGTTTCTTGAGCGCCGGATTCTTATGCACGACCTTCCAGTCGGGAACGATCTCCTTCTCCCAGACGTGAAGCGAATCCTCAATCTTCTTCTCCCGAGCTAACCGCCGATCTTGCAGCGCTTGTCTTCGCTTCTCCGCTGTAAGCCCATTGAGCCTCGCATGATATGAGAAGCGAGCCGAACGAACCTGACAACCGACTCTGTTTCATCATCGACTCCCATTCGCTCAGATGCTTGTTATCCTCCTGCTTGCTTTTCGGAGGCAGGAACGAAGGCCGGGTTTTACTTCTGACCTTCTCAAACATGCTCGGTCCTGTCGAGCGGTTTGGTCGAGATGGGGTTTTGGGAGTCACGGGAGGCGGTCCGGGAGGCGATGCTGGTAATGGCAGTGGAGGAATGGGTTGCGACGATGAAGAAGCGGCAGGCAAATGCCCATTAGACTCGGGAGGTGGGGAGTGAATAGACTGTCTAGAACCTGGGCGGGAAGAGCTAGCATTGGTGGAATGTGTCGGGGTGCGCTCAGCAATAGTGGACATCGAGACGGTCACGCGATGCCCAGGTGGTTTGGAGGCGTCGATGAGGACGTTGGGATATGAATGGGTTTCGTGGATGTCCAAGACCTGAGAGTCTTCTGGGACCTCTTGATCTTGCGCTCCAACAACAACATCATCTTCCGCAGCGGTAGCTACGTGTCCGTCCGCATCCGTTTGCTCTCCCAGAGAGATCGAAGAGAAGTTTGCTTCTGACCCATCGCCCTCGATTGTGGAGTCGACTTCCGAAGCTGGGGACTGAGACCTGGTTCCGCTGATGTCGAGCGTAGATACGGATTCATCGATTTCGAAGGAGTGAGGAGCCGAATCAGCGTCTGATTCAGTCGCCCAGGACGATTCGCGACGAGCCATCTCGGCCCTTATGGCCTCTGGAGAGAAATTATACTCGATGCGGTCCTCATCGCTGTCTGCGAAAGCATCGTCAAGGCCAAGGGAGGAGGAAGAAGACTCGAGGGGCATGCCAGTGCCTTCGAAATCGGGTAAGGACGACGTGACATCACGCGGCGATTGTGACCCAACGCGTCCGATCATGCGCGTTAGAGAGAACCGTGATGATTTCTGAGGTGTTCCTACTCCTTGCTGGCCACGAGTCCTCCCTCTTTCCGTCAGGGCCGGTCCTCCATCCGAATTTCGCCCCGCTTCTTCATCCGGGCGAGCAGCAATGTTTGGAATCACTGGCAGTCATTGCCTGGCGATACAGGCGCATATCGGCAGCATGTAACCGACTTTTGGGAAACCCGTCACGCTACGTCACTACCGTAGCAGCTACTCTGACACAATTCTTGAAATCTGAATACCAAGCGCTTGTTGTGGACACGGAGGTATGCTGCCATCTCTGTCGACGGTCATATCATCGAATTGTGTTGTTGAAACCATTCAGGCGAAGGTTCTCTTGAGAGATCCAGATCTCGTAGCGAGCGGGTCTTTTGTTCCACTCTCCTCTATACGAGCGATATTCTCGCCATGGGACGCCCCGTTCGCGGTCTTGATCGCACTTGTCGAACAACTCGAGAATGAAGAGACGTGGAGGCCTGGGCCTCTCATCGATCTCTTGCTCACAAGAGCGCACACTGGAGTACAAAGAATATCTCAGATCATGTCTTCGCTGGCCATTGCCGTTCAACGAGTGTGGAGAACTCAGCTCGGTGCATTCATCATCCATGGCTCGCTTTCGACGTCAGATCCATTGATCTCAACTTCCTACTCTCTTGAAGATGGATCGATGCCTTCTTGCGTCTCTGAACAATCACGGGACTCGGTGGTCTACATTGGACGTGCCATCGCCACAGTGAAGGCCGCGCAATGGGAAAAGCAACTCCCTCGGTCATTGATCACTGAGCATACCGAGCTCTTGCAGACTGTGCTTCCCGAGGACCAGCACGACTTTGACAAGGCCATATTTCAAATCCGAACCAACGTCAGCGAGTGGCTTTGGTTGAATGTCCTGACCCAGAAAGACGTAGAAGATGCCGTGGATTCACTGTGAGTTTCGTCCCATTCCAGACCCCCAGGCTCAACAAATGAGAAGTGGAAACTACTTTCTTCTTCGAAACGGGGAGTTCGCACAGGCTCTCATTCAAGAAATCGAGCGATTGAAGCTGTCTCGATTGACTGTTCGTGCAGGTTCAGCGGCGATCATTCGAGACCAAGATCTCAACGTGGCTCTACTTCGAGCCTCGCTAGGGACCACCGCCCAGCACGACCCGACGCTATCCTTACTCCGGTTCTCCTTGCCCTCTGGGCCAATTCGCCCTCTCCTGCCGTCTCTGAGTCACACTCAATACCCCAAAACGGCTGACTTGTCTGCTTCCATGACCGTGGAGGCGTCTCAATTCAGTGCTCATTTACTGGGAACCACGCCTTTGACTCTGTCTTACAAAGTGTCCTGGCCATTAGACTTGTTTCTGCACAAGTCTGACCTCGCAATATACGCCAACCTCTTTTCGTATCTCTCTGCTCTGCGGAAAACTCATACTCGAATTCACAACTGCTGGTCCTCTCTATCCAACGCACAACGGGCTCGAAGACGATGGACAGGCCTGGGCGAGGGCGGCACGGTCGAGGATCTACAAGTGCGTCAAACGCTGCTGCGCTGTGGGTGGGGTCTAGTTCGGGATATGGGGTGGTTTCTCGATACACTGCTGAGCTACCTCATGGTCGATGTCGTGGACGTCGAGTTTTCGAGGTTGAAAGAAATGCTAGCAAGAGGCCGGGTTCTGCCAACATCAGCCAGCTTGGCTTCCCTGCCCTCAGCGCAGCTAGCGACAGCGACGAGTGCTGCTTCAGTTGCGTCGAACGGGCAAACCCTCGATTTCACCACGCTGCGAAACATGCATTCGGACTATCTGGACCGCTTGATGACAGGGTGTCTGCTCACGAATACCCTTCTCACCTCCTTGCTATTGCCTATCCTCGAGGTCTGCGAAAGATTCGGGGCGCAGGTCGAACGTTGGAACGGCGATGTTCTACCCGCACTTCTTTTCGAAGGAAGTCTGAGAGAGGGCCACGATGAAGTCGGGGCTCTAGTCCGAGAACGACAAAGTGTGGTCGCGGAGATCAACGATGCAAGTAACGGCTGTCACTCCCGAATCTATCGCACTCACATGCATCCTTTAGACTTTCCAGGATCTACTAGAGTCCTTCTATGAACAGCTCTCCATGTCCACATCGCAGCAGGCATTCACGGCAACTGGGACGGATGCGACAAAGTCAGTCCTCCTGAACTCCAGTATGGCCAACCAGACGATGTTCAACGCGTCGAAGGCGCTGAAGGGTCCGGACGGAGGGGTGCGGAGACATGTGGAACGGTTACTGCTGAGACTAGACTTCAATAAGGAATTTTCCAAAGGCCGGCGACGAAGGCAACTGAAGCAGGGAATTCTAGCCGAAGGTGGTTTAGCTTAGAATCACATTATAGATGGTTATTAGTGCAGCCATCGCGAGAGTGACGCGAGCGACGCGACAAGAAACTTTCGACATTTGTGTCTTCGCTTATTTAGTTCTTGTTTGGTGCGATCCATGAGTGCAAATATTGCTCGCAGGCTTTCCTCTCTCAACCGCCAACTAAGCACTATGGCATCCCGTACGTGTCGCCAATGTACATTGCGATGAAGCTGATCGTGGTACAGAGTATGGTGCCCGCCTTGTCGGCGCGGCCAACACTCTGGGTAGGTCCATCGCTGTCGTTCCTCCTCACCGCATCTAATCGCGGACATCTAGAGCACCGCGTCTTCATCGAGCAAAACGGCTCTATCGTGTCCCCCTTCCACGATATCCCCCTCTTCGCTGACCAGAGCAACGGCATCTTCAACATGATCGTTGAAGTCCCCCGCTGGACGAACGCGAAGATGGAGATCTCCAAAGAGGAG